TGCAAGCAGTAAACAAATGTCAACTCTCGAGGGGTGGAGATGGGTGGGATATGTTGATGTCGCAACAGGTATGAGAATCAGTGAGCTGATTTCAATTTCCAATAATCCATCATTATTGGTATTTTCTGAGGAAGATGTCACCTTTTTCCTACAGAGATTCTAAGAAAAAATGAAAGGGAGGATTTTCAAGCTCAACCTATCAGGATAAAATGGCTAATGGGTGAGACAAGGGTTCCTCATATATTGTGCCCAGATAAGATTTTTCAAGAATGGTTTATCAGATTCCCTAATCGAGGCTCCTATGTATTCTCATCACAAGATGGTAAGAAATTGTCTCCTAGTCAAATGACAAAATATTTATCTCAGTTAGTGAGTCAAGCAGACACTGGCAAAAATTTTTTTTGCACATGACACCAGGAAATATGCAGGGTCTGTGGCCTTTCTGCGGCATATGAGCCTCAGTCAGATCAAAGAAGTGGGCTTTTTGAAATCTTCAAAAACCTTTTAAAACAGCTATCTTCATCTATCTCTGAAAGATGCTTCATATGTGGTGGTACTGGGGTCCCCTCCCCCACCTAGTCAATCTTCACAACCGTAACCTTCTTCTTCCTCATCAGAATAAAGTGAGTATCCTAATTAGGATATGTAAATTAACATTTTACCTTCCGGTGAATGTTCCTAATATTGGAAAATATTCCAAAAAGTTTATACTTATAATCTGGACCTAAGCTGATCCTTATACGCAATGTCACCTCCCTCTCCACCTCCTGCTCGGGTAATCAATGCTAGATGTCGCATTCTGGATTGAACAAAAAAGTTATTCAACAATGACCTAGCAGTTATTCGACCATGACTCTGTAGTTGTTCATGTCATACATGCTGAGGTCTGTAACTTCATCAGAAGTTGAGTGAGGTCAAGCTGATTTTGCAAATACCTCGCCCGCTCCTCCTTGCGTCTCACGCCTGAGCAGGAGAGAGCGGGCAGACTCATATCACTTGTTACCCAGTGAACACCTCACTTAAACGTTCTCCTATAAGTGCACTAAGACACTTCCCTTAGCAGAGAAGGTACAATATACTCTCAACTGAACTCAGTACCTGTGAAACTATATTTTTCCACAATAAAGCAAACACCAGCAAAGTGTTTATTTCAGCCCTGCCACTTACTAGTTCCAAAACTAATATATATATATATATATATATATATATATATATATATATATATATATATATATATATATATATATATATATATATATATATATATATATATATATATATATATATATATATATATATATATATATATATATATATATACTTGTGCGTGATATATATCTATAAAAAAGGACCAACACAAGTGTACACTCATGCTGAAAAGTCTTGTCGCCTCACCTGCCTCTTCATGAACCCAAAGATTCAGAGACCTCTGGGTTCATGAAGAGGCAGCTGGCAAACAGGACTTAATGTTAGGGAGATACATCTCTTGTGACCAATGTATGACAGACCCTTCTCTGTTGTAAACATGAGTAATTTATTTACGTCATTCTCACAACTACAGTTAAATGAGTTACTGATATAATGCATTACTGCACTTCAACAGCTATGGTTGTTAAGCTTTTAACTAAGTTAGTATTTACACTAGTCTATCAACAATTATAAATTGTGAGAGATAAAACCCTGTTATCACCACTATCAAAATGCAAGAAAACCTTGCCAGTATCTTGGAGTCTGTATTCATCAGAAATTTCACAGCCAAACCTATTTTGATGAATTGGTGGGGCCCTAAATTTTGGAACTACAGTAATACCCCGCTTAACACGGTTTCGCTTAAGCGATTTCACGTATCGCGGTGCCTCGCCAGAGCCGAACTTTCACTTAACACGGTTTTCCACGTACTCTGGCGAGAGTGTCATTTCGAGAGCTTTTTAGATTCCCCCACCCCCACCCCCCCACCCTGCCTGCCTGCCTGTTTTGTGTCATAAAATTCATACAAATTACCCGCCAGAATATAATTTACATTGCTGGAATTCTTACAATATGATGATCATTTTGAATATAAACATCATAGATTTTGCATTAGACATACAAATTTTTAGATATACGTTTACTCTGAGTAAATATGTTATTTTTGTGCAAAATATATGACATTTAGACTAAAAATATTCCTGGTCTTTACAAGGAATCCAGCAATGTCAATTATATTATCCTAACTTTAGTTTGAGGTATTATTTATTACTAAAAAGTAAATATTCTGGTTTTCCCACACATCTGGTGGTAGGAGGGTTGGTGGGGGTGGTGGGGGGGAGGGAGGGACCTAATCGTAATTAATCTGTTGTAATGCGGTGAAGAATATTTGTTTTTATTAACTGGAAGATATTTGTTTTAGCCATAAAATTCATACAAAATTACCCGTCAGAATATAATTACATTGCTGGAATTTTATATTTGAGTTAATCATTTTGAATATAAACATCATAGATTTTGCATTAGACATAGCAAATTTTAGATGTAATGTTTACCTGGAGTAAATATGTTATCTTTTGTGCAAAATATATGACATTTATATTCAAAAAATATTCCTGGTCTTACAAGGAATCCAGCAATGTCAATTATATTATCCTAACTTAATCTGAGGTAGGCTATTTAATACTAAATGTTAAAATTTAGTTTTTCACCCAACATCTCTTGAAGGAGGATTGTGGGGGTGGGGGGGCAGGGATGGGACTTGACCACGCTGTTGGAAGAGGGGGAGGCAAGGTGGGGTACTTGATTGACAGATAGTGTGGTGAAAAATATTTTTTTATTAACTGAAGATATTTGTTTTAGCTCATAAAATTGATACAAATTACCCCGCCAGAATATAATTTACATTGCTCAATTCTTACAATATGATGATCATTTTGAATATAAACATCATAGATTTTGCATTAGACATACAAATTTTAGATATAATGTTTACTCTGAGTAAATATGTGTTATTTTTTGTGCAAAAATATATGACATTTAGAACAAAATATTCCTGGTCTTACAAGGAATCCAGCAATGTCAATTATATTATCCTAACTTTAGTTTGAGGTATTATTTATTACTAAAAAAGTAAATATTCTTGGTTTTCCCACACATCTGGTAGGGGAGGGTTGGTGGGGGTGGGTGGGGGAGGGAGGGACCGACCACCATCTGTTACCGTGGTGAAGAATATTTTGTTTTTTATTAACTGAAGATATTTGTTTTAGCTCATAAAATTCATACAAATTACTCGTCAGAATAGCAATTTACATTGCTGGAATTCTTATAATTTGATAATCATTTTGAATATAAACATCATAGATTTTGCATTAGACATACAAATTTTAGATGTAATGTTTACTCTGAGTAAATATGTTATCTTTTTGTGCAAAATATATGACATTTATATTCAAAAATATTCCTGGTCTTACAAGGAATCCAAGCAGCAATGTCAATTATATTATCCTAACTTTAATCTGAGGTATTATTTAATACTAAATGTTAAAATTTAGTTTTTTCACCCAACATCTCTTGAAGGGAGGATTGGTGGGGGTGGGGGGCAGGGATGGACGGACCACGCCAAGTTGGAAGAGGGGGGAGGCAAGGGGGTACTCTTTTGATTGACAGATAGTGTGGTGAAAATATTTTTTTTTATTAACTGAAGATATTTGTTTTTAGCTCATAAAATTGATGTTACAAATTACTCGCCAGAATATAATTTACATTGCTCAATTTACATTCTAGGATCATTTTGAATATACACATCATAGATTTTGCATTAGACATACAAATTTTAGATATATAATGTTTACTCTGGAGTAAATATGTTATCTTTTGTGCAAAATATATGACATTTATATTCAAAATATTCCTGGTCTTACAAGGAATCCAGCAATGTCAATTGTATTATCCTAACTTTAGTTTGAGGTATTATTTATGAAAAATTTAGTGGTTTTCCCCAAAATTTCTCAGGAGAGGGAAGAGCCAGCAGTGTAGTGTGAGAAGAGGGGAGGGAGTGGAGTCCATTATTTGAATGGACATTAACTTGGCGACTGCATTTCTCTCTTTAAGTATTAATCAGGTGCATGTACCATCATAAAATTAAGATGTTATTTTTTACTAGAACATAGGTATTGTAGTCGGAAAAGTGGAGTTTGGGGGTCGGGCCAGTTTCTATTGAATTAATCCCATATATGTTCTGTTGTTCACTTAGCTGTTTTCACTTAACACGTACCCTGTGGGTTTTATTGGATCACAAGTAAGCGGGTAATTACTGTATACTTATATTTAACCTTAAATTATATAAATTTATTTAATTATTACTATACTGTACTGGGAGTGAATTATCTTTTTTCTCACAGTCACTTATGCCCACTGTGGTTAATATGCAAGCATCGGAATGTATTCTTCAACAACCTATTCACGTGTTCAGCTACTGCAGCCAGGAGTGATTAAAGAACAATAAACATTTTTTCTACATTCATAAATTATTGCACGGAGTGATTTTACCAGGAGTTAAATGCATGGGGAGTGAAATTAGAGGTAGGAAAATTACCAGAGCAAAAATGCATGGCGTACAATTACCAGGTGTGAAATTTTATCTACCAGTCCCAATGACCTGTGGAAACAGCATACCATACACCATATATAGAGTGCTAAGCTTTGATACATAAGGAGGCAACATGGCTGGATTGCACTTGACAGCCATCACTTCCCCCAACTAAAATTAGATACCCATTTACACAGCTGGGTGTTCTATGGATGCCCTAGGCTTGAACCTTTAAGACAGGAGATGAGAGTTATATCCACATATTTTTTCAATAGCAATAACACAAAACAAAATGAAAGACCTTTTTTAATATTTAACATAGAGAGTACTGTATATGAGGTGATAAAGAAGAACAGCAATCTTTCTTATTCAAACTTCTTATTCCAAGTCTATTTTTGTGGTTAAGAGGAATACAGTATGAGATAATGTAGCAACTGTCTACCTTTATCAGTGATCATGTTGAAAAGGGACCCAATTAGAGGATAACACTTGGGTCCTGGAACTTCAGGTACTTCTACTTGTAACTGTTGATGTACCCCGGTGACCTAATCGTCCAATGATATTTAATAGGGTACTTCGTTGTGACAGCATCTTCATCCCAAGCTTAATCTTAAAGTAAATAATATTTTTTTTCTACATCATATACAGTACAGTATACCACATCAAATCTCACATTCAAGATTAAGTTTTCTAATATTACAGTACAGTAAACCCTTGTTATTTGCAGGGGATAGGTTCCAAGGAATGGCGCAAATAGCAAAACCACGAATAGCAACTTATACCCTGTACTACCTTAGTACACTACTGTATATGGCAAATTCTATACCAAAACAACCGACCAGCTGTGGCAGCAAAACATCCCCTTTTAACTTCTGTCTAATAATTCAACTTTCTTTTGTTAAGGCTATCACCGACTTCTGCCTTTACATTTCACCACTAGCATCCCTAGCACTGACACTATAGTGTATTTTTTCAGCTGAGTAGGCATAAGCTCGCTTCTCAAGAAAGCTGAAGAATGATTGGCTGCTGTAAACCCGTCCGATTTTGTTCTGAAGAAATGATGTATTTTCAAATGAGTTTACACAATTTTGGCTCTGACCGCTTCCGATGAGAAAGATATTTGCTCATATGCCATTAATATATTATTTATTGGCTTTCAAACAAAGACGTGTTTATCGTTTTATACATGAATTAATTGTTAAACTTTGGGAGTAATTGATGCTGAGATGTACATATAGGTACTTTTATTTTACTCATTGTCATATATATTGTTACGCCTATATCAGTAATACCAATATAAAAACATTTTAGCATCAGAATCACATTGAAATATGTTGATATCAGCCGCTGGGGCAGAGGCGGAAAATATGACTTAGAACAACTTCATATTTTCCCACCACGTTGACGGGTTGTTCGCTGGAGTTTACTCAAGTCTGTCACACTCATCCACCAATTTTCAGAGGCTGTGTAATATTTCAATGTGATTCTGATCTTTTAAAATGTTAGTTTTGCATAATATAGTTTTATGGATACATAATTTGTCTTAGTATGACTTATTGTGGGTAAAAATAAGTACTGTATATATTAAATGGATCCTCCAAAAGCGTGAATTTGTTACCAAAGTTTAATAGTTAATTCATGTATAAGATTTCTATTAAACTTCCTACGTGCTCCTGTTTGAAATAATGAATGTAAGTATCTTTATATAATTTAGCCAACATCTTCTCTCACAGAAATCATCCCAACGACATGAATATACCATTGAGAAATACCTGCACGCATAACATTACTTGGATCATATTGGATATATTTGCAACAGCCAATGAGCTGTAACTCTTGAGGAAGGGCGGGCATCTTTTCTCAGCTGAGAAACAACACGCTATAGGCAGTCTTTTAGGTTCATTTTCACACATAAACACTAAAGTTTTGAGAGTACAACACAAGATGCTGCGTGGGGCAACTCATTGTGCTGCAGGAAAAGGCTCGCAAGCTAGCCATCATGGCCACTATCTGCTTACCGCGAATCATCAAAATCACGAATCACAAACCCGCGAATGCCAAGGGTCAACTGTACTCAGTTATTTAAATAGTCGATGATCTCATCCCACACATTAAGTTACTGACAACCTACAAAAAAATATCTAATACTGTACTGTAATAATAATACCGGGTATGAACAGCAATACTCCAACTGTAGGGGAGAGAGACAGGAGACACCCATTGTCACCATTTATAGGGGATTCCTTCCTATAATACTTTACTTATAATTTCTTTTCTCTGTCCCACTACTTTAAACAATTACTTTTCTTTCTGTCTTAACTTCTTACTCCAAAATTTCTTCTTCCCCACTCCTACTGTAAGACTCCAAATGCTAATTATGTCTAAGTTACTTTACTTCTACAAGTTACTACCTAACCTCGGACCTGTGGTAGCATGACTCGAGGGCTAGAGCACGGGTTCACTGTAATAATGGTACCAAGCTATAGGAAGAAACAAAGGTGGACACTGTAGGAAAATAATACCTCTAACATACAATAAAAGTGGTTTATTAAAATAGTGTTAGACTTATGTCTCTTTCCAATACACCCAACTACCATGAGCAACACTCATGTACTTCTCAACACGGTACAGTACAGTACATCTTCCACATTCACCATTGATAGGTGTACCTTTAGAAAACCTATAACACTATAATCATACATAGTACACTTGGGCATCAACAATACAGGTTACCTGAGATTACTCTCGTGATAGCACAGACTTAGCCGTGGTAGCACCACAAATGAATACCTCCTAGGGTGACTCTGTTACATTTGCCAAGAAAGAGTGGTGACTCTCATACTAAGTTGACTCCAGACACTCATACAATTGGAGATGACATACCGGGATACACGGGCGAATAATACAGCCAAAGGACTCTACTTAGAGGTGGACACATAACAACAGCAACACTGTATGAGCTGGTCGTTGTTTACGTCGCGGACGATCAACAGGTGGGCGGTGAACACGTCTGGTGCATCATTTTGAATGGCCAAATGGCTTGAGCCAATGACTTGGCTCACCACATAACCATGTTTGCGACTATATCCGACCTTATTGGCATTCATCCATCTCCAAATACTAGTTTGGACGTTGTCCTGGGTCTATACAACCACCCATGGCCTACAAGAACCTGTGAGCAAGATGATGGTCAGCCGGAGAGTCGGACATGAATATCATTGTGCTTAATAGGCTGAAGGAGCATGATTACTACTTAGAACACATCAAAGCTAAGTAATGGATCACTGCATATTCAAACAAAATAACTAAGTTACAACACTAAGGGACGAGGTGGAGCATGGACTACTAGACTTTACCTTTGAACGGGATGACGGTTAAGCTGAAGAGTGAGCGTAGGGTCGACCGAGGTTCTTCCCACCCAACGTCCTACCCTCGAAGCTACTGCCGCACTTACAGATAAATTAACAAACTCCCTCGGCTTCAACACATTGGCATATGAAAATTAGGTTACTTAACTTATTTAAATTTTCTAAGATTAACCTTTTAAACTAAGCAGTGACTGAGTTTTCAAAGACAAGAATTAAACTGGATCACAAATACTATAAATGGCAGTGTATTGTATGGAGCATTTCTTCCTGCTGAAGCCTCCTCCAGTTCCCACCGGTCTTCATTGCATATTCATTGTGAGTCGAGGAAGTCTTCTACGCCAGGCCATCCACTTCATCGAATCCAGCCTTCTTTGCAAGTCACAATAGTCTTCCTTATTGCAGGCACTGAAGGGAACCAAATGGAGTTGTGCACAATAATCGGGCCACAGATTACGCCCACACAATCGGGCTCATGTTCTGTTGTGTTATTGCTTCCCATGAATCACTGATGTTTTTATGGCTTCTGGATGTTGAGGTTTTTTCCAAACTCCCAGATTGTAGGTTCCTTCTCCTTTGGTCCCCAATCAGCTGCTCCAGATACTGGAGTGCTCGAAAGCACCTTGAATGTGGTGAGATGACGCCCTGGTCCATGGGTTGCAGGCAAAGCCGTGGTGTTGGGAGGCAAACACAACTTAATAAATACATCTGTCGGATCCATAGCTGATGGATGACCTGCGCGCTAAGTTTCCATCACCATCAGAGCTTTTATTATCAAAATTATTTTCCTTATTATAGCCACTGCTTTAATCGACACATAGTTGAACATGTAGTCGTAGTAACATCACAGACCTGTCACCCACGCTTCTACGGTTTGAACGCCAGAGGACAGGAAGTCGCTTCTTTCACAACCCCTCAGAACATGGGTGTTTCAGACCAGTACACAAGGAGAAGCTATAACTTCAGGTCACCTCAGCATTTCCACCAATCAATAGAGTGAGGCGGACTTGCAACTTTGAATCCTGGTGCTGCCTTTTTTCTCCTTAGATATGTGTAGGTCCGTGAAGGCATTTTCTTGGGTCTCGGCCCAGTTGAAGACTTGTTAGGACCGTACCCACCTCCTTTAATTATGGTTGCAAGAAATGGTGGGAACTTCTGCTGCTTCATGGTCGGTGCTAGCTGATTCTCTTTGTATTTTAGGTTGTGATTGATATACGCTTCTAGATCTATCAAACCATCCACTCCACTGGCACTGAACTCAAGTACGCTAGTTTATCTTTATTATATCTTTCCACAGCGATCTTGCCTTCTGTTGAATCATGCGTTGTGATAAAGGTGTTTTAAGGCGCTTGGGTCTGGTCGTCAATTCACGCACTTAACATCCGGCCCATACTCTCCATCTCAGCATCATCACGGAACCTCGCCACCTTCTAGGCCGCCAGTGGTGTGCTGCGTAGATCCGGCCATCTCTCTTTGATCTGTCGGGCGCTTGGCCATACCTGCAGAATGCACCGTGTAGAGGGAGCTGCCGTGCACGCACTCCAATCACTGACGCCTTTCCCTGTTCATGTCCCCTACAAACGCTGTTTGAAAATGTATGAGCAGTCAATTCCCTCGCCAATTCCCCAGTGTATGCCTCGCGGTCTAGGGTCAACCTCAGCCTTTACATGATGTAGGTCAACCAGCCTTTACATGACGTAGGTCAACTATTGCCACGCCACCTCCGCTATATAAGACCTGACCTCGTAGTGACCACCTCTTTCTACCTCCACCAACCAGCAAGCAACACCCCTCCTCCTCGGCTCCCGCCTGGTGGCTCCCACTCCAGCCGGCGAGCATGGCGACCCACAAGTTGTCCTCCTGGAGCACCTCACCAACCAGCTTCCTCTCTACACTTTGTAACCACGGTGCCACTTCCCAGCCAAGCTGCACTGTACATCCACAATATGTATACAGAGAGTTAATATTGTGAGTTTCCCTTCACCATCCCATCCCGAGTGTAAGCCACTTTAGTTAAGGACGTTCAGGTTAATGGGCAAGTCTAAGGGATTGAAACCCATCTTTTGGACGCATTCAATATTTATTGATGTGGTCAAAACCTGCTGAGGAGAAGGTGTTCATAATATTACATAAGGTGATCCATCTGATACATAATTAGTTAGTCTCACACAATTTTATCTTTAATTACAATAAATTAAACATACTGACATAACACAAAGTTCATAACTCTATTATAATAATTCTT